TCATGCAGAAGTACAGAACCCATGGTGATGGCCCGGATAAAGGCACACATGCAAGAAAATGCAGCCAAGTCACGGGTGAGGGTTTCTTCCTTTTTTCCTTTGCTTCAAAATTGTTGGATTTACCAGCACACCTACATGTAGTTGTACATGATTGTACAGTTATCATCATACATCATGTCCCTGGCCCTGTAGATGGCTCAAAAAGGCATATTTTTAAATTTATTTACCTTGCATATTGAGTCATAGTATTATTGACTTTATAGTTCCTTTCAACTGCAATATGAAATAAAGTACACCTTGACATAGAGCAAGAAAAGAGCTTCATTTTGATAAGCATGTCATACTATACCAAATATGGGTTCACATACATTCAAATGGGACTTCGGTTATAAGGACACTTCGCGAATAAGGACACTTTTCTGATGCCCCGCCGAATGTCGTTATTCGCAAAGTTGACTGTACCGTTTAAGTCGGATCAAGTACACCCTAGGGTAAACAGGGCCATTCGCAAGTACAAACTGCCGGTAAGAGTAGTTTATGAGCACTCGGGCCGTCTCCGCAATCAATTATGTTGTTCAGCACAGTCTCCACCCCAGTATGTCAAGGAGCCGAATACTACGCAGCGTAGGAGACGAGGCCTCCCGCTTGAGCCATGTCTTACATGTCAATCCGGTGGGTGGAAGGTTTGCATGAAAAAGAATGTAGTATACAGAATAGCAATAAACTGTTGAATGGTACCTTTCGGCTGTTGAATAATACAAGAAACTAACTCTCTTCCTCCATGCGCTCTAAAGCCGACCATTGCTACCCTCGGTAGCCATTACTCACACCAATAACTTCAAACAACGAAGGGGTCACGGGTAAAACATTTCCTTCTGACAGCTGTTTCGCCTTCTAGCTTGTGAATTTCACCTAACAATGTGCATTTATCATTGTGATGACCTATTTCAGCATTAAAGTCGATGTGAACATACCCTATTGCATAGATTTCAATGCAAATCAGCGCAGCAAATTTACGTATTTCCAGCACATCTATAAAAGTAGGACAGCTATTACAGGTCCTCCCTCGTTAGTAGATAATCTCTGGGCCATCGAAAAAGTTATCTTATAACAAGACTTATCTTGTAGGAGGACTTGCAGCTAAAGGTGAAATAGGCACTACTTCGTACTTACCGGGGCTACCCTCGATACAACATAAATTATAGATGCTTCAACTCGTTATATGATAATTGAAAATCTCCAACATAACTCTTCCTTGGATCCAAAGGATCGTCCATACTCACGAATACATAGACATCATACGTTTCCTCGTTCTACTTTATCCTACATGTTTTGGCCTTGGTCCTGCATGGTCAATATTATCTTATACTGAGGGTTTGGCACTCCAGGGACCTGGGCAAAGGGTCGTTATAACGGATTTTATGTACTAACGGATTATGTTGTAACCGGACCTGTAAACAGTTGTATAGACCACGTTTTGCCAGGAGATTTTAGATTTCTATTTACTAATGGGGTTTATGTACTAACCGGACTCTTTATAATGAGGGAGGGCCTGTACAGGGTTTACTGCATGCAGTATCGCTTCTAAGTACAGGTATCAACAATTGCTAGTCAGAATGAAAAAATAATAAATATTATAATGTATTCTCATGGTTCACCCTCAATATGTACATATTTACATCTGTTTAGGTCACGCTACATGTCCGCAAACTCGAACAAATTTGCGATTAGGAACCACTCGGCAATTACGGAACAACTATTTTCCTCTGTGCGATGTCTCGAAGCACTCAAGGCAATACCCTGGGTTCTTCGGGCAATCAGCACACATCTGCTGCACATCTCGGCGTTTCCCCTTGGCATAGAACACACACATTTTCTGCGAGCCGGCAGAGTATGTAGGTTGGCATCAATAAATGCGCGTGCATAGCGATTGGTTTCCGTCACAAGATACTCAAAGAAATCTTCATTGGAGAACAATTTCAGGCAGTCAAGTGGAATTGGATCGTCTGGAAGCGGCATTTGGAGACCGGAGTTGCCAGTGAATGGCAGTGCGGTATGTGCAATACTCTGCTTCACCCATATGCCTGGATGCATGTAAGCACAATAATGCAGATAATGTGTATTTCAGTACCAATTCACATATCTGTTGCATATTTTGTACTTCAGTACTTGGTGTCCATAACATCAACAGTGACATGCTAGAACGGGCACAAAAATATCTACAATTCAAAATACCACTAAGTTAGCCCACCTTTGCAAAAATATAGTCAACAGCATGCAACAGTACATGAATATTTGAAATTTCAAAATTCAAAATTAGTGAAAAATTCAAATTGTAAATGCACCCAACTCACCTTCGCTTCCATCGTCACCTGCAGCTAGAACCTCGACAGCTTCCACAAGCGACTTCAAGGACATGGCCTTGTCGCCAGCACTGGTGTCCTCCGTACCACCTGTTCCGCGCTCTCCATCACCTCAACATCGTCAGCAGCATCGCCAATTTCTGGCGACGCACATCGTTCCAGAGATGAAGACACAGACTCATCTGCCGACGAAAAATCGCTCTCAGAGACGGTTGGCTCATTATCGCTATCCAAACTGAGCGTGATCTGCTTCAAAACTTGGTCGATCTCCTCAGCGCTGTATCTACGTTGTGCGATGGTTGAAAATGTTAACAAATTGTCAACAAATTTCTTTCTGATATATTTTTGCACTGCACAACCTACTCTTGCCGTGATACGTGGCGAACTTCACGTGTACTTGTCGTGATACGTCTCCTGAACAGGCCTAGCTCCGCGTGACCACGGCACAGGCCTGGTACTACTACACGGAAGCCAAAAACAACTGTACGGCGTGATGTAGATCGTATGACGTACATGTACGTGATCCGTGGACCGGCAGCATCCAGGATCACGTACATTTACGTGATGCGTGCTGAAGAGGTTAATTAGAGACATCAGTTAGTGTAAATCACTCTACTATTATTCGGTGATCGCAACTTCGGAATTGTAGCTATTGTCGAACCAAAGTGCGGATAGAGCTGCTTCAGCTGCAACAAGCGCCTCTGCTATGATCACTCTGCAACTCTCTATGTCACTCCAGTGTGCTGTGCACGAGTCACGATGTCGACTGTAGTAATTTCCACCTCCACTCCTCAGAATGCAGTGATTAGAATCGTGCAAAAACCTACACACGGACTCCATATTTTCGGCTGGCATACACGTGCTCCTGTATACACCAATCACCTGGTCACCGAGCCTGAGGGGCACAATTTTCACACCAAGGTTCAACTCGAGTGACAGGAACGCACCCAAACAGGCTGTAAGTCGTACCCCGCAGGCACGGTGACCAGGTGACTAGTGTACGCAGGAGCATGTGACCGCTTGTTCAGCCATTTTTGTTTGGGAATAGGGGCAGAACGCTGAATCGCATCAATCTCGGACCAAAAGCAGTCGACTCAGCGTCGAAAAGACTACAACACATGGGCCAATCGCGGTCATCAGTGCTTTCATAAGAACGAAATGGCGCTTTTAGTGACATTTTGCATACAAATCCCCATCTAGTACGGCGCCGTCACCCAGTTTTGGTGGAAGCAGGGGCGAATCCAGGAATTTTTCAGGGGGGGTTCAAATTTTTTCAAGTGCACAGAATTAAATTCGCTTCAAACTGTTTTCGGTTCGTTCACTACACCGGGAGTTGCAAAATCTTTATTGTCGCTGTAGCCCTGAATTGCTTGGCCAATAAGACAAGGGTAATAATGCGTTTAGAGCTTTACAAAGTACAAAGCTGCAGCACGGGCAGAAACTAAGGCCGTGACTGCAGCATTTTCCGAACTGACGGAAGGCGAAGTTCTCTGACTGTCCTCCGGCTGAGACTGCGTGTCGTCACATTCGCGTCGTACACGGCGGAACGAAGCCAAGCCCAATGGGGCAATGGCAACTGGCATCAGCCGCTCGCCTCTTTGGCAGAAGTCGCGACAATCACATGGCAAACCACACGACAAACACAAACATTATCTTCGTACTGCGACGGAGGAAACCTACAGTCCAGCCAGCGCGAAATAAAACAAAACGACAAGGAAGGTAAGGAGGACAAGTGGCAGTTTCTCCAGCTTTTCCTCCACCGCGACATGGCAAACTACACGACAAACACAAACATTATCTTCGTACTGCGACGGAGGAAACCTACAGTCCAGCCAGCGCGAAATAACACAAAACGACAAGGAAGGTAAGGAGGACAAGTGGTAGTTTCTCCACCTTTTCCTCCACCGCGACATGGCAAACTACACGACAAACACAAACATTATCTTCGTACTGCGACGGAGGGAACCTACAGTCCAGCCAGCGTGAAATAAAACAAAACGACAAGGAAGGAGGACAAGTGGCAGTTTTTCCACCTTTTGCTCCACCACTTGAACTGTCGATCGTTTCAAGTCACATGATACGCGTACAGACCCTTCGATTCGAACGGTACGCATACAACAGTCCCGACCACTGCATGCATGCAGTGACCTAGTACCTGCACTGCCTGTACGTGACTACTGCATGCAGAATGCATACCAGTGAAGTCTACTGGCCATGCTGCATGTACCATGATGTACGCTACACTTCGCTGGCTGCGCACGGGGATATCACAAAAAAATCGACTGGACCCATGGTCGAAATTATTTTAGGGGGTTCGTCCGAACCCCCTGAACCCCCCCTCCCCCCCTGTATCCGCCCCTGGGAAGTGCGCGAGTTAGATTGGGAATAAAGGAGGAAGAGAGCGTCTCAGCTTCCTCGGACCAAGACTATTCGACTCAGCACCCCGAAGACTACAACTGGTGAAAATTTGATTTTAGGCTTAACTCCCCTTTTCAATCTGGCTTTGGAAATTTTATATGTCATTGCTATCAGGTTTAGCTTCATTTTCTCTTTGCTGCGCTGATGAGTCCACAAAGGACGAAACGATTCTGTTCGCAGATTGAGTGAAAAAATATTATCAATGGTTGTATTTGTTACCTCTTTGTCACAAGGCTGACAGAAGACATCACGGTAAACGGTTTTGAGGAGAAATTGTAGGACGCCTCGCGAATCATGTTGACATGCTGTCCAACCCAGATAAGCCTGCAGTGATTAAAGCCCAAGGAAGAGATTACTTTGCATCTATTGACAATAACATTTTCTTTGCTCATAAAGCAAATGAGAGGGGAAATGCATGCGCACATGCACATGAAAGAGTGAGCGCGTGATAGATACATAGATAGAAAGATACAAAGGAATAAGTTTCGCAATTGCCGGCAAAGTGCTCAATGCAAAAAGTGCAGAGCGTTTCACACGGAAAAGAGAAATAGGTCCAGTTTGGATTTGTCGTGGCTCAAAGTTTCATGCCATTGCAATCATCAGACGACTGATTATAGAAACCTAAGACTAATCATTATTAATCAGATCATACGATGGGATGTTTTGATGGTGCAGAGGTGTGCGAGCTAATTTTCACTTTCGCGTTATACAAGCTGACGCAGGATTTGAAGAAAGAGAATATCGGCCTGTATCGTGACGACGGACTTGTAGTATTGCACAGCAATACCAGAAGTGCGGCCGATCGCTCTAGGAAAAGGATGATTCAAACATTAAACGAGTTGGGCCCCGTATTACAATCGAGACAAACTGGAAGATAGTCAACTATCTGGATGTGACTCTCAACTTGAATACTGGTCAACACTACCCATGCAGAAAGCCCAATGATAACCCTGTATACATTCACTCCAAGTCCAATCATCCGCCCAACATCATAGAATAACGCCCTACTGCGTGAAGTCGCCGGGTGACAGACCTGTCACACGACGAGGAGACATTTCATCAGGCCGCCCTTCTCCACAATGAGGCTCTCCATGCCAGTGGATATGAAGAGAAGGTGGAATACAAAAGTGAACAGAAAGAAGGGCGGAAGAAGAAGAGGAGAAACCATCAGCGCAACATCACGTGGTTCAACCCTCCCTCCGTTCAGCAAAAACGTACAAATAAATGTGGCCGGGAAATTCTTACACCTTATTGATAAACACTTCCCAAAAGGCTCACCACTCAATAAAATATTCAACAGGAACACAGTCAAGGTTAACTTTAGCTGAATGCAAAATATACAAATCATTATCAATACCAATAACAAACGAGTTCTCACAGCGACTATAAGCCAGCAACAACCCCCTGCCAAGACATGTGACTGCCGTAATGCCGCACCCTGTCGAGATCAATTGTGTATCGAGCAACAGTAAATGACAACAAAGAGTCCATCGGAATTACCGAGCTTCCCTTCAAGGACCGGTACAACAATCATACAAAGAGCTTCCGTCACGAACGGTATCAGACCAAGACTGAACTGCCAAACCATGTGTGGAACCTAAAACGTGCAGGGACGCCGTTCTCTGTTTGGTGGCATATTCACACAAGAACACAGGCGTACTCCAACATGTCAAAAAGGTGTAACTATGCAGAATCGAGAAGCTTACAATATTGAACAATGTCAACAACCCAAAGAGACTGAACAGAAGAAACGAACTAGTGTCAAAAATGCCGCCATGAAAACAAATATTACATACAAAACTTCACACCTAGCGTGACATAGTAGAACAAGCAGCAGCCAGTCGCAACTGCCGCGCAAGGACAGTACCCGCCACCGTCATGACTGGTTGTGGCAAATATCAGTGCTAATAGTATACGGGTAACCATCACAACCATGCCTGGTTTAGCATACGTCAGTGCCAACATTATGCCATTACATATCCCTTACATCATCCATAACATCTGTGTGATAATGGCCATCATTCGTGTGTCGCGCAGAGTAATGACAATCTAAGCGCCAAGTATCACGCATGATCTGATTCATAATGATTAGTCTTAGGTTTTTATTATCAGTCGTCTGATGATTGCAGTGGCATGAAACTTTGAGTCACGACAAATCCAAACTGGGCCTATTTCTCTTTTCCGTGTAGATAGAAAGATAGAAAGATGGATGGATTAGTGGATGTATGGATGGAGGGATGGAGGGAAGGAGGGGGAGGGAGGCAGGCAGGCAGATAGGTAGGTAGGTGGGTAGGTAGGTTGCCGACTATTGCCAAAATTACTCCTTTGTACTTCCTCCGGAAACAAAAACTTTGTGACTTTTTCACATGACTTTTCAAGGAGTTACTGTGCTCGACAAAAGTGTTCTATTGGAAAGGAAACACTTCAACACACTCAATGGACATGTGTACAATATCTACAAGATTGATTGATGGGAATAGAATCTCAGTCTGAGTCGCCATCAATCGATTCATCACTGCTGGAACCAACTGAAGTGGCAGGTCGATCGACTCGTTTTCGCATGTCACGGAGCAGCTTCTCCGCGTCTCTGATCGTCTTCGCTGTTACTAGTAGTACCGGTACGTGATATATACCAGTACCTTCCCTAGCATGTAGCTGGAGACTCATTATCGTGTCCGCTCAAAAGAATGCCGGAACGACGCGCACAGGCAAAGCCAAACATTTCGCATTTTCTCCGAATCGTAGTTGTCCCATCACTTCACGACTGCTGGGAGGAGATCTCGCCTGTTCTCCTATGCAACAAAGGAGACATCAGCGTGGAGGCTGCTGAAAAAGGCAAGATCTTCCACGTTGAGGTATGGCCTCCGCGGGGGCTGAACGACGACTTCGATTTTGAATTTTCTAGCTCTACTGTGCTGCACGAAGTGACGGGTGTCACATCTTTGCGTTTTGGAGTTTGATATCATGGCGACCTGTTCGCACTTCGGCTGGTGTTTTTGGAGATGACGCAGATTTCAAAACCCCTAACTGCTATCCTTTTCATACTCTTCTTGCTCCTCAGTGCCATTGTCCTGCTCTTTCTCATTCTGAAAAACGAGCAACAACGAACAGCGAGCGCAGCGATTTTGTTGGCAATGTGCCTGGTGGACAAAAATGAAAAAATCATCGTCGCTTCGCTTGGTTTACAGCACGACACTCTTGCCTTGCGATGGCTGTCGGATTTCCATAGTGTGAATCATGCCTTCCTACTGTTCCAAAATGTCATCTGTTGGTGTTTCAGGCCGACAGCCAAACAGAGAGCGACAGAACAGAAGCGAAAATCAATGAAAAAAGTCACGAAGTTTTTGTTTCCGGAGGAAGTAGATAGATATATAGGTAGAGAGATACACAGATAGATAGATAGATAGATAGATAGGTAGAGAGGTACATAAATATCACCCCAACCCCCATACACACAGACCCTCCCCCCCCCCCCCCCCCACCCACACACTCACACACTCTCCCTCTCTCTCACACACTCACTCACACGCACACACACACACGCACACACACGCACAAACACACACACACACACACATACACACATGCACACACACACACGCACAAACACACACACGCACATACACACACACACATACACACACACACACTCTCTCTCTCTTTCACACACACACACACACACACGCACACACACACACTCAAAGACGCACAACCAGACCTAACCACACCAGCCCCAACACATGTCCATGACGACAGTCTCAGCACATGTCTGGTAATAGTGAGAGGTGAGCCGGCTCATTCGTGAGAACAAATATAGCGTACCTCATACTCATATTCCGTTGAACACTACTTCAGACGGAATACTTCTGCAGTAAATGTTATATATTTGTCCTTTCTTGGTAAGCAGCAGGTTTCGGGCTGTTTATCAGTAAAGCAATTCCATCTTCACCAAATGCGCTCTCTGGCTTTTTTGCCAATAGAAAAAGAAATGCATGTGAAAAGAAATGCAAATGTGCAGGCTGCGGACGGATTTACAGAATATACTTCATACTCACCAGAAGTGACGCTCTGGGACTTCGATGGTATTTTTTGGCAGCAAGTGCGATAACCCGGCCGTTCACAAGAAGCTTGGCCTTGATCTCTTCTGCCTTGTCCCGTACGCACAGGTCCACAAGCTCATCTTGGAAAGGTTCCATTCTGTGAGCCTGAACATAACAGATCAATGTTCTTTTTAAAGCATTTATTGCCGGCTACTTTTCGTAGTTTGAGCACTCTGGCGATAGAGCGACGAGCTACCTCTAAAATGCCCCCCCCCCCCACTACATGGTTCGCGGCTGTAGTTATTATCATGTATACTCGTATTACCAAGAGTAGATAAACAAGAGTGTGCAACTCCGGATCTCTCCTGCACAATCTGCAGATACCCCGCCCACGGCGGAATTTTTTGTTGACGTCACCTTTTTTCAGAGAAACGCGCAGTTTGCCGCAGAGCAGTGTGAGAGCACGTGCTGGACACCGACCTTGTAGTGTAAAGCCCGGCCAAGAGCACGAGGGAAAACTTTCCGAAAGACTCGCAGCGCGTGCGTCGTCGAAAAGATTACGTCAACAAAAAATTCCGCCGTGGGCCAACCCATCCGCGAGTTGCACACTCTTGTTTATCTACTCTTGGTATTACTATTAGGTCACTTCGCTACTACAGTCAGACCTCGCATAACCGCACACATCTGTTTTCCACAAAAATATCCGGATAGGCGAGGGAACCGGATAACTGAACACACATACTGTATAATATTATGCATGTTGCATGTCAAAAGCAGTGACATCGTACATACATGTACAGGTAGACTAGACGGGTCCTACGCAGTACAACCAGCGTACACAGACTCAGTATGTAGAACAAGCGAGAAAATGACAAGTGCATGCAACTGAGTGCTGTCTGCATGCACCCAGCAGGTCAAGGATCTAGGACCTCATTTTGCTTGTACAACTCCCTGATTCTAGCTTCTGCAAGCCACATGCAACCGGATACGACGAAGCTTTTTGTACACATTTTAACCAGATTGTACACGAAATCATGCACCGGTATGCGGATCGCGAGGTCCGGTTATGTTGGATGCATAACATATGCTGCACATCGGTAACCAGCGATTTTTTTCCGGATGGCGAGGGATCCGGATAAACGAGGACCGGATAAGCGAGGTCTGACTGTACATGTATATACCGTCAGCTGTAATAATTCTATATTCATCCTTTTCCTGTGGTATTTGTTTAAGTAAATAGTTTACATTTTGTAGTTAGCCATTTCCAGTTATATTTATTGAAGTAAATAGCTGACATTTGGTGTGTTTTAGGTTTGTCTTATTCATTCCCTTTTGCCTATCCTGCACTTGCATGCGTGTGTGCTCCTCATTGGCTTCGCTCGTTCCTCTTTTCTTTTGTTCATTTGGCTTATGGGAAGGCTCGCCAAGCTGGCTTGGCGATGTTAAAGGGAACAAGCATAATAATAGAATGAAGTAGAGGTTGCGACTTCAGCGACGATTTTTTAGGAATGAGTTTGATCCCACACTGGAGCTCACGCTATTCCGCCGACTTGACACTTGACTGACTCGCGACTGCCATCCGGAGCACACGAGAAATCCATCGAATCTTTGACTCGGCAAACCTGCAAGAAAGCACCACTCCCTGCTCAATACCCAGTGTTTCGGGGAATTCAACCCTCATCAGTTGAGCTTGAGTAGGCTAAGGAAGATTGTGCCTGAAGAGCACCACCTATCATCGCCGAAGTCGCAACCACTATTTCCTTCTATTGTGCCCAGCTCGGGCTGCCGACTAGCTGGTTTGGAGGTGACAGCGTTGTGAATGGCCCAGGGTCCTCTACATCTGTTCTCACCCTCCAGGAGCGACACTGACTCACGCTGTTATCTGGTGTTCACGAGGTGTTTGTCGCGCTGGAAACGGGGCGTCTCTGTAAGTTTGTATCCCTGGTGATGTTTGTGCCTTGAGAGCACTAAATAAGTGGTGCTCTTCAGGCACAATCTTCCTCAGCCTACTCAAGCTCAACTGATGAGGGGTGAAATCCCCGAAACACTGTGTATTGAGCAGGGAGTGATGCTTTCTTGCAGGTTTGCCAAGTCAAAGGTTCGATGGATTTCTCGTGTGCTCTGGACTGGATGGCAGTCGTGAGTCAGTCAAGTGTCAAGTCAAGTCGGCGGAATAGCGCGAGCTCCAGTGTGGGAGCAAACTCATTCCTAAAAAGCATAATAATTGGGGCTGAGTCGGGTAGCATTTTCCTCGGGTATCGGGTCCGGGTAGTTTTGCACGGGTAGCACGGGTACCCGATCGGGTAATGTTCCCATGGTAAGACCACAATGCACACCGGCCCCTTCCCTTACACACTGGGTAGACATGCGTGAATCAATTTTGTACACGTGCACTGTAGACCTCTCTCTACTCTTTCTACATGATGCCATCTGCGACTTCGGGTTTTCGGGTACGATTCGGTACCCGTCTACCCGAGGTCCTCACGGGTAGCACGGGTACCCGACTACCCGTGCATACCACTAATAATAATAATAATAATCAGACGTGCTCTCTTAATGTCTGTGGTGCTCGTAGCTGTAGCTGGTGAGGTCTTTATGGCCGAAACAGCTTGCTGTCTATAGCATTGCTTAACTATTTATCTATGCTGATGGGTCGTTGATTTGATTTTGATTTTATCATCTGCTTGGTCCGACTTATTAAAATGTGCGCTTCACTTCAAAACTCAAGCATTTGTACAAATGAGCACTAGAACTAAAAAATCAACCAAGAAACGGTATATAGATAACTACTGTATCATCTCTTCGGCGGACCTTCTAGTTTCCATCGCTGGGCTGGTGTCTCCGGGCGCATCGGCAATGGCGCCACCCTGCAAAACACCGACAGTTCTGTTGTCTCATTCAAGCTACGCTGCACTTTCTTGATTTTTTCAATCCATAGGCCCGGTTTTGACGATCGCCTTTGCATCTCCCGCGCGCAGTGCAACTGCCAGAATGGTGGTTGTAGGGGTTTTCACCCGGCGTTTCCACGAACTGGATGACGCGATGCTTGTGCTGCTGAACGAGTTTCTGGATGGTGTGTTTGCTAAAATTCTACCCAGGAAACAGCGATTTCAATACACCAGGAGGGAATCGAGAACGATCGCCCAGGAGTTTCTGGTGCTATCCGAAACTTTGTAGTTCCTTGGTCCTTTTTATTTTTTATAAATTTACCCTTGGCTCTCCATCCGAGTCCAATTTCAAATAAGGTTTGAACTATGAAGGCGTGTTTCAATAATGGACTCAGATGAAGGGCAAAGGAAAATCTATAGAAAAGAAAAAAGACCAAAGAACTACAAGCTACGCCATAATGTCCACTAAAACCACCAGTTACTAAACAATCAGCTCATGCGATAACATTGCACGACACTGACCAACGGTACTGACGTTCTACAACTAACTGCCTCTAGTACATCTTGGATGTGCACCCTAACAGCCTTCCAACTTGGAAAGTTCTAAGTTATAATGATAACAATGTCCAATGGTCTTGCCAGTATCGTCATTGAAATGCATGAACATCCGTCAACGTCCTTCACAGCTGAGACTTTCAGCTCGTACTTTCAGATTTCACTAACAGGGTTTATGTACTACCCGGACTCGTTATAATGAGGGAGTACCTGAAGCATAACTTGTAGTCCCTTGGTCCTTTTTCTTTTCTATGAAGTGTTTCAATCCTTCCCATTTTACGGAACTGACACCATTCTGCTAGGAAACAGCTGTGCAATTTTGAACAAAATCAATACTGTACCAGCATTACCGGACATGGCAAAAGATATATATTTTCGCTCAAAGTTGGCTCCATTTTTATTATTATTATTATTTATTCTTCTTTTACTAGGGAATTCCCAACAGGCGTCAGCGCCTTTTTACAGGGAACCCTAGGTATAATTTGATGGATGAGCGAAATTCAGCTGGTGAACTAGACATGCGGCAAGCCGGTGGAAGTGCCATTTAACCCTGGGTCGGCCTCATTCACCCACTATCACAGTTTGGTCGAGAAACCCTTTTCTTTAGATACTAATCAAGACAAAACATCACCAAAAATTCTCACTGAAACACCTTCAGACAAGCTACATGAACGGGGGTCACCACGCAAATTTCACATGTGCATCGATGTCTCGTCGTACATGACTGGAATCACGACACAGCAGTTGTGCACTCTAGGATTTCAGGTATGCATTGCAGTAGGAAAATCAAGAATCGAAAAAAAGGCATCTTTGGCGCGCGGCTGCGGGCTTCCAGTACCTGAAAAATGCATGATGACGTACGTGGACTCTTAGCAATATGAGTGATAATTTGAAGGTGATACAATTGGGGTACAATGCGCATGTGGAGTTTGAACTAAATCTCTGATGAACATGCCGAAAGCTTACTGACCTGACATCTGACAGGACAATCAGCCGCTTCCCAATGGTGCAATTCCCACAGATCTAGAAACACCATGACAGCGGGAAATATGGCAGTCAGAAGACCAGGAAACATACAATATGCAGCAGCTGCTTCCTACCAGCCTCTGTGGTCTGTAGTCCCAATAACCAAGGCAGTTTCATTTTCAAATTCGCTGTTGTTTTGTGCGTTAGCTGGAAAAAGCGTGCAATTGCTCCTTGTTATGGCGCTCTTTTCTGATTAATCTTGTTCCCTATATTCTTTCTTTCTCTCTTGCTTTCCATGGTTTGTGATGGCTTTCGATTCTGCCATGACTGGCTCTCAGCCAACCTACCAGTTCAATTATTGGTAGTCAATTGTCATGTCAGCAGATGTGGTATTTGTTGAACACATGTAGATAGATAAATTCACGAGCTCATCATGGTCATTACTGTACATGTGAAGAGCTGGAAGGCAAAACTCGCTACATCCCTTAACTTAACTTAATTGAACACTTTTAGAATTGGGTACCTCAACTTGAACTTTCCAAATACGATCTCTTCGCTGCACAGTTCACTTCATGATAAATAAGTACTTCCTCCGCCCAAGCAAACTTTTCGCTTATCTTTACACTTTTTACTGATACATTCCAGGTTCTCAGAATGGCTTATAACGACTCAGAATGAGTTGAGGAGCTGTTGAACATCAAGAGAAACTCTCCAAGTCGAAAAATGTTGAAGTCATCCTTTGTCATCAGTCGACGCAGCACTTGTTGTCGGGTAGTACTCACCTCCTTCATGAGCACGATCGGTCGTGTTTCTTACCAGCTGAAGCTGACGAGCTCAGCGGCGCTTTGCAGGATTATTCACGTTGACATCAGGCGAATGAGCAGGGTGCGTGACAACCCTGTCATCGAAGCCTTTCTTTTACCCCTATTTTGCCCAGCGCCGATTCTGGTTCATTTTGCAGTATGTGGGCGAGCGTCGCTGAGTGGCTTTCCCAGCTTCAAGCTCACGTCATTTTACCGTACACACATCTTGTGCCGGATGCAAACAAACACCCTGGCTTTTCGCAACATGACACCTCTGCTCTGTACTCCAGTGGTGCTCTAGCAGCACCCACCTTGACCAGTGACTGACTTCGTGTCTTTTTTAGCAGTTCACTCGCGTTCAACGCGCTCTAATTTAAGGTGTTTCTTTACTCTTTGCCGACTTTGCCGACTTGTTTGGAACTGGTGTGCCTGAACCAGCAGATTTGTGTGATTGCTGTCAGACTGTCATTGGGCTGAAGGAGATAAGCGAAAATTTTGCCTGGGCGGAGAAAGTACCGTATTTTCCGGGGTATAAGCCGCACCGGGGTATAAGCCGCACCCCCTTTTTGAGGCAAAATATTGACTAAAAGTTGGTATTCGGAGTATAAACCGCACCCACAAACCAAGATTTTTCACACTCATTGACAAATGGCCTTTCTACAAATTTATTATGGTTATGGAGCTAATTACCATGTTAGATCAGATTATGATGTGTTAGTGCACCACAGGTTGCTGCAGAGATGTTGGTGTATTGCTGTGTTGACTACAGATCACTCCATGTCATCTGCACTATCTTCAGTCTCTTGCAGTACGCAAAATAGTGTCCCCGTATACGCGTACCGTATGGTGTAGCCCGCGCACTAAAACTAGTAAAAGTGCCGGGATAGCAACACAGGCGCGAAGCTGAGTCGAATGACATGTCACATGACGTCAGCATGCATACTGATGTATGCTAAGCAATGTAAGCATTCATTCGCGCAAGCATATTCGGTGTATAAGCCGCAGGGGCGATTTTGGTCTGATTTTTAGCGAAAAAAAGTGCGGCTTATACCCCGGAAAATACGGTAATAGAATTCACCAAATTTTTTGGGTATGGCCCATCCTCAGGGTGAAAGCATTCAACTAATGCCAACAAAAACTGAAACGAGTAGATATGCAGTGTGGTGCTGTAGGAAGGCGATGAGAAGAGTGTGGAAAAAAGGAGCTAAAAATGTGTGTATGCGTGTAGGCTAGCAGTAATGGTGAAAGGTGTCGGGAGAAAGGGAGGGAGGAAAGGACAGAAGTCTAGAGCTGTATCTATATCGATTACTGCGTCCTAGAAATGTGCGGGTGCAGAAAGTCAGTTTATTTTTTTATTAGGCCATGGTAAAAATTATCTTTGATTCTCAAGTACGTGCGCACCGATTTTTGGCGGCGCACCGACGATTTTTTTATTTCTATGCATGCATATGCGCACATGAAAACGGTCAATGCGAAAGGCATGAATCAGGGAGTAGTAAAATACCGGTATTATTCTACTCCCTGGCCTGAATAAAAAATAATTATATGAACCTGTGACGTACTTATGTGTGACCCTATCTTTGGAAATAAAAAAATTGTGGGAAATAAAATAAAAAATCGCTCGCTCGCACCGATTTTCACAGGCTCATGACCTGAGAATCAACTTTATTCCCGTAGCTATGCAGAAGACGTTTCCTTCAGTAACGTCTGGAGCGAGCCAGGGTCCACACAGCTTTAATTTGGTATTTGTGTGTTTGTTTGTTTGTTTGTGTCACGCCTGGCGCTATCCGTATCTGACGGCAAAAAAAGCATAGGATGTTATAAATTTTTCAATTCTCCTATATTTTTCTCAGGCATATCCTGGGATTCAAACCCGCACTATCGCCCTACATGCAATCCCCCATACACTTCGCATTCATACCCATTCTTCCAAGTTGCTTCACGTTATTATCTTGCGTTTGAAAGCCCTATTTGAATATTGCGGGCAGCTGTATGTGGCCAGCTGTGTTTGATGGTACGGTACGGAACGGGAGACGGTGTCGTATTACCCTCGATCGTACCTGTCCCGTACCTATCCCCTACCGTACCGTGCCATCAAAGACGGCTGGCCACAATGCATATTCAAATAGGGCTTTCAAATGCAAGATCACAATGTGAAGCAACTTGGAAGAATTAGTATGTATCCGAAGTGTATCGGGGGATGCATGCAGGGCGCGCGATAGTGCGGGTTCGAATCCCAGGTTATGTCTTTAAAAAAAAGGATTTTTTTAAAGAATTTATAACAACCCTATGCATTTTTTGCCTAGGTCATCAAGGCAAAAAAGCATAGCGTAGGGCCCTGAGCTTCCAAGCTCTCTCGTTTTTTTATTATGGCCTTATTATTTTTTTTACTATACATAGCCCTACTAGACTTGAAAGCATGTGCATAACAACAAGAAACGAGGAAAAGGACAAAGTATATTGCGCATGTGTACATGCACTGTCGATCTAAAATGTGCGTAAAAAAGTTATCGTATCCTACTACTGCAGATACAGGTGGTCATGTACTGTCGTGGACATGGAAATCCGGTCGCACCTCTAGCGGCCCCAGGGCGCTGGCCATGCAGCCGTGAGTCCGTTCACACATTAATTTATGCGCTGCAGCGCGCTGGTCGCATCGGATCATGTGCACTGCCTGCAGCGACGTTTCGTTCTGTACGCGCTGAGGGCGCCGGCCTCGGTCAATCGACTGGATTTCCATATCCGCGACAGTACATGACAATCTTGCACAAGTGTTTTTATTTTTTATTTTATTTTTTAATCTTTAGAATCGTGTAACCGAAACAGACAGCTTAATCGAAATCGCTTCGTCGTAATGATCGATTAGACGGATAATCGATATAATTGTTTCAGCGCTAATATTCGATAGTCGAATTGATACAAGGGTAGATTGACCGACAGTTGAAAAGTGTAATCGTTTCACCCCTGAATTTTTTTATAGCAATGCAATTTTCGAATTGGGCTGGTCTTGATGCCAACATTCTGACATGACAATTGTTTTTAGGAATGAGCTCCTTGAGCCTCTTGTAGGGGAAAAAACACATTTGTGAAGCATGAACACAATTACTGTAAATATACAAAATTTCGGCGCTGCAAAATTTCGGCACTTCACGATTTTTGACATTTCGGCGGCGATTTATTTTCGGCGTAGGGTAGAGGGCATGGTATAGACTAGTGCGACAGATGCTGTGAAAAATTTCATCGGCGTTTTAATTATTTAGGCGTTTGGGGTCGGTGCCGAATATAGCCGAAATTAAATAGCTGCCGAAAATTTGTATATTTACAGTACAGAAAACGAATCATCGGATATAGTAATGATTATACAGACTCAGTAGGATCACTGCAGGTTCACTGAATGCCTGCCTCAGCCACCACCAGCACTGCAGGGGACTCAGGCACGGCAGGAGCAAACATGCTCCTTGAGCCACGCAGGCACATGGCACCACAACGAACCAGGGCAAACCCAAGGCGGCAGCGCAGCAAGAAGATAATCTGCACGTATGGTTCCTTGCTCTTCTCAGCCAGGAGAGAGTCGACCCGCGAGAAAAGCGCATTGGCATGCTTGCCATAACCACCAGAGGCAGAAAGCACAACGGGCACGAAGGAGGCATGCTCGACTTCGCGTACTCGCTCTTCGTACTTCCGGCGCTTTTCCTGTTCATGGCGTCTGTAGCTAGCAGCGAGGGAGGTGGCACGACTCGAAGACGCGAAAGGGTTGAACACCCGTGCATCAATACAGATGCTCTCGAATTGGCCACTAGCCGCAACTTCCAGCCGAGCTTGCTCCTCCGTGACAGCTGTGCGATGGCGCTACATGACAACTCGGATCCTTCAAACATGTAAATATGTACATGTACAAGCCATGCAACTGCTAATGCTTGTATTGTTTTAGCGTGCATGGCGCGGACAACAGACCATGCACTTTGTGGGATAGATAAACTAAGCACCGCTGCTGTAGACAAGCTGGCCAACGTTTCATTTCATCCCCTTCAAAATAATTCACACTCTGCCTGATAAACTCCGATCTCATGATTTGAATGGAATTATTATAATTATAAAACAGGCAAATTCGGACCGTACCTCGTCAACAGTATGTGGATCACGAAGGAGGTGGAGACCACGGTGTGTAGTTCCCGCGCGGTTCACTACCGCGCACCTGCCAGCTGCAAAACTAACTTTATGGCTTCTCCCAATGGTGCAATTCTCCGCTCAATATGTTACAAGACCGCTGGCTATACCGCTGGCTGAGTGCATCGCCTAGAACACTCTGCCAACACCGATCGAATTGAATCAGTTGTAGTCTACAAAGGGCATGCTGATGCGCGTGTCCGAACAAACGAGCTGTCCCGACCCTACACTCTCGTTCTGCAACAAACTGAGAGCTGTGTGACAAGCTATCAGTATGGTAGGGCTAATCCCTGATCGGAGGTGCGGACGAACCAACAACGATGCATACACGTACACAGCGCTTCGCAACTCCGTGGCGAAGGGTAAAATCAAAATTTATAATTATTTCATTCTGTATTGACACTGCAGCTACTGCACTGACGGAGTCGACAGCGCTAGCGCTAAGCAGAGTGCATGCGGCTCAAAAAGTAGAAGGACCTACATACAGTATCATACTGTATGCTCGGCTCATTTTGTATGGGTACGGGTTTATCATTCAGGTTTTCACGACTCTTTGCGTGCTACGCAAAGAAGTAGTAAACACAGTGTAGTACTACATGTAGTACTACTACTAGTTTTGAGATAGTAGGTGTCATGCATGCGCCAAATTGACAGCTACACGTAGCGCCGCCCAGGCTGCATGTACCGTAAAATCACACATGCACAGCTGTCCAGGCTACAGCCCAAGACATGCTGGCTGCACTGACCGTGCGACAAGTACAATGTCAATGTAGGAAATCTACCTGTCAAGCATTGCTGGCATGAATGCTAGCATAGGGTACTCAGGCTATTAATAGTATTATACTCGCATAGGCAATACTATACTAGCATAGGCTATACTATACTAGCATAGGCTATACTATACTAGCATAGGCTATACTATACTAGCATAGGCTATACTATACTAGCATAGGCTATACTATACTAGCATAGGCTATACTATACTAGCATAGGCTGTACTATACTAGCATAGGCTATACTATACTAGCATAGGCTATACTATACTAGCATAGGCAATACATGATTATACTTACCAAAATACTTACCAAACCAGCCAAAGCCAATCTCTCTTTTTTTGGGCAATTTGTGTTTATTTTTGCGTATTTTCCGCAATAATATTTTATCCATATATCTTCACTCTCCAAACGGTCTCTGGGCTACACCAATCACTAAAAGGAAAAGAGATATTAAAACTATGAATAGGATGAAGGCCGCAGACATCACGCAACTACGTTTCTTTGTTTGACATGTGTTTTCTGATGATCGCTTAGTGCGTGAAACTCTGAGTAAAAACACTTCCTCTGTCCTCCTATTGTTTGAACCAGCTCTGTTTTATACGTCCTTAGTGCTGAATGGGTTAATGCGCCTCACTCAGTCTCTTAAAGGGGCACTCCGGCTTCATTTTCGACGCCGAGTTTTCGATGCCAAGACGAAGGTAGGTGAAAGAGAAGACCCCTCGAACAAGAACGAGTCTCCAGAAGCGATCGAGTCGAGCAGGAAGACGACTTTTGAATTTCGCCGAGCGAGCGCTGATGAAGTAATGAGGGATTAGCTTGCCAGTGGAAATGCACCTGCGCACATACATTTTACACACTTTTTGGCCAATTTTCAATCGAAGAGGAGGTTGTTTGCTATGTTCTCCCAACGTCGTGAGCGATCCCGTCTTCTTTACCCTTCCAGGTACCCTGAATGTCCTCCAGACGAGAATTTATCTCCAGCAAAGTGTTGTTGATCCGCTAAATTCGTCTCGAGACATATTCAGTGCTGATAAATGTAGAATGTTGAATCTGTGATAATTGTCGACGATGGAGAGAGAGAGGCTGATAGCCGCTGTCGCAGGGAGAGTGAAGCTGCTGGAAGTAACAATGGGGAGCCCGTTTGCATCATCTGAACAACCAGACTTCAAAGCAGCTTGACCAAATCGGAGGGCGCCTCGTTGCTTATCGTGAATATTACACCGACATGAATTACTACAAGTATACTGGTGAGTTTTTATCTTGTTTTGTTCGTATGCTAGTACCCTGGCCTGGAGTTCTCGTTAGCACATTCCTATTCCCTGGCGGTTTCTAAACATTCCGTTTAGTACTGAATACGTGATCAAGTATTCCGATTTGGGTAGATGTGGAATTTGGACATGTATTTTATAAAAAAATTCTATCATAAGTTTCCAAATAGAGAAATGTAGAGAAATGGTTGCCCAAATACAACAAAATTGATTCTGCAGTTCTACAACTTGTACTGAAATCCAGTCAAAGTAAAAATTAATGATTCTTCATGACAGTTGGGGTCAATGAAATCTGATCCAGGCATAACGAATGGTGACGCCTGTCACCCCGGGAACGAATGCCCATTTGGTGGGGGATACCAAAGTACTCGAAAGTGGTGCGTGTTTCAATGTGGCATTTTGGAAGTTTTATATGATCTCTGGTCAATGCAACATACGATAGCCATCATGAATTCCAGGCCTCGAACGCAACTCAGACCAGAATCGGCAGTTCCCTAAGTCAGATGCTTTATAATTCCATGGCCCCAGCTGTACTTATTCCGTAAAATCCCGCCAGAGCGCCCCTACCTCCTCGACGCTTCAGGTGGGGAGGGGCGGATGGGCGAGTCCTACATTCGGCATTCAGTGCCACATGAAAAAGTACTCGCCCTACGAAAACTGTTCGTGCATCTCATACACCGACCAAAGGTCACTGAGAGCCAGGAGTCGAACAGATCCGACAAAACGCAGGGTTTGTGCGATCCCTGGTCAGGAGGGTGGGCACTGTTGTATACATTTCCAACGGGGTCGAGCACACGTCTGCAGTGCAGTACGGCATCACAGACTGCGACAGAGTCATACGAGGATACAATCAATCACGTCCCTGACAAGAAGTCAGGGAGGGGCGGATGGGAGAGACGGGGCGCTCTGGCGGGATTTTACGGTCGAGGTTTTTCTTGCACATTTTTCTTATAGTCGATAGGTTTATACTGATGGCCACAAACAACGGCAGTTCAAACTTCACTGATGTGTTCATGAGCTGAGAGATTTCTCTCCACTATTTCTGTTGTGCACACAGGTCTGTCCAATATGCATTGACCGTATTGGGTATGGTACCTGCTCTGAGAAGGGAATCGCTGGAGCCACAGTCCAACTATACAGGCTTTCAAAAAACAGAGAGGAGCCATCTTTGCAAGCTGATACCTGATGTGTACCGACAGAATTCTCACGAGATACCTTTTGGACTACGTCTGGTGTATACTTCATAGTACTCCTTCGACTACGGTCTAGAATCAAGTCGACTGAAACATGTTTAAACAACTCTGGCTTCAAACGAGCCGTCGATTAGACAAACAAAACATTCTCTCATATACTAGAGCACTCTGACAACTCATGACCTATTCCTAACGATTGCCACCGCTTATAAATATGTAGAGTGCTGATTGGAATGTGCTCACAATCTCAACAGTGCTATAATTATTTGAACAATGTGTTAGAATATTCCACTTTTCCTTTCATAAATGTTGTATCCACATATAATCCACAGTGCTGCAAAGTTTCAGAGTTCTCAGGGTATCAAACAAAATTATTTCAAATACAGTGAAATTGTTTGTGGACATTATAGCGTAACTTGTAGTCCCCTGGTCCTTTTCTTTGCTATAAATTAATCCTTTGCTCTCTATATATATTGTAGCCGCCGGCAAGTCCAACAGTGAAATTGTTAGTTCATATTTATAATGTGGGAGGGGGAGGGGGGGGGGGGTTGAACATATTTCTATATATAAGGGACCTGCAACTGTAATACCACAGTACAGTAGCCAGCAAATATGTAGAAAACAGAAATGCATGTTACCATCATTGTACATGGACGGGCGCAGCAGGCCGAAGCTATCAGCCAGAACAGGATTTACAATCACCTAGAGATACTTGAGCTTTTCCAGTATTCTCCGTGAGCTGTCCCATTCCACAATGGTTCATGCCACCATTATTTCTGGCAGTATCCATGTCCATAATTCCAAGACCATCTCGGATTCTTCAGCAATTTGTGCCACGGCAAAAGACAACGCTTGACTTGGTCACTGGGGCTGTCAAACTTCCCATCACAAATGAACTTCAATTTCTCATCTGTTTCAAGTATGTGTACTGCCATGACTTGACCATGCTTCATCCACAGCTGGGCGAAGATTGTGGCGTTGAATTCCATAGCGCACCTTCTTGCTGCCATGCAGGAGTATGTTGAGAGAAGTGAACATATTTTTACTAAAAAACAACAGCCACTGAAGAGGATAGCAATATCCTTGGGTGAATCTCCTGCAGATACACGTTGTTGGTAGGTCTACTAGTCCGTCTCCATATCGTCAAGTTCAGAAATCACCTGTGCTACATATCTTGTAGAAGGGATCCTGATCGAATAATTCCTGGTCATAAAATTCACTAAACTGAGGGCGAGACAAATAGTCAGTACTCCCCGATTCCGTCAAGCTGCTTTGAAGTCTGGATGCTCATGTGATGCTAACAAACTCCCCGTTGTTACTTCCAGCAGCTTCACTTTCCCTGCGACAGCGGCTATCAACCTCTCTCTCCATCGTCGACAATTGTCACAGATTCAACATTCTACATTTATCAGCACTGCACTGGGTGAATATGTCTCAAGACGAATTTAGCGGATCAACAACGCTTTGCTGGAGATAAATTCTCGTCTGGAGGACCTTCAGGGTACCTGGAAGGATATAGAAGACGGGATCGCTCACGACGTTAAGAGAACATAGAAAACAACCTCCTCTTATTGGCCAAAAAGTATGCGAAATGTATGTGCGCAGATGCATTTCCACTGGCAAGCTAATCCCTCATTACGTCATCAGCGCTCGCTCGGCGAAATTCAAAAGTCGTCTTCCTGCTCGACTCGATCGCTTCTGGAGACTCGTTCTTGTTCGAGGCGTCTTCTCTTTCACCAACCTTCGTCTTGGCATCGAAAACTCGGCGTCGAAAATGAAGCCGGAGTGCCCCTTTAATACGCCTCACTCAGCCTCGGTTCACTCAGTCTCTTAATACGGCTCACTCAGCCTCGGTTCACTCAGTCTCTTAATACGGCTCACTCAGCCTCGGTTCACTCAGTCTCTGAATACGGCTCACTCAGCCTCGGTTCACTCAGTCTCTGAATACGGCTCACTCAGCCTCGGTTCACTCTCTTTTAAATACGCCATTTTAATTAAAGGCTTCAGGTCATGGCACCCAGGCTCAGCACTACTTATTTGGCATTGAAAAAGACGTATAGATACGTCCCTCGGGCCTGAGTGTAAATTTCAATGACGTATTTATATATACGTCCTTAGTGCTGAATGGGTTAATGCGCGGGGGTACTGAGTATGTCCGCTGACGTGCTTCAAGTACATCATCAGACACTCTCAAGGGGTTAGTACGGCTCACTCAGCCTCAG